GTTTTATGTTAGGAGCAGCGCTGGAAAATTCATTTACTGATGAAGCACACTTGCAATTACACAGTTTCCCTACTCCAAATAGTAAGTTTTTCAGACTTTGAGTTAAAAATTTAAATTATTTTATTACTCTACTTGCATTTCAGTAAAAACTGGTAGTTTTGTTTACGACGTTGTGTTGCGTGCACAATCTTGGCAACCTAGTAAGGCTGAATTGCGTGCCCTCTCCGCTGAGATGGTTAAATTAGCAGCAAAAGATTTGAAAATCGAACGTCTTGATGTCAATAACGAACTTGCTTTGGAAATGTTTGCCGATTCGCATTATAAACGCGAGCAATTGCCCAGCATCGCACAACAGAATCAAGGACGTGTTACACTCTACCGCATTGGTACTCATATAGATATATCACGTGGTCCTATGGTCGCCTCATCACGTTTTCTTGGCAAATGTACAGTAGCAGCTGCGCATAAGATTGCTAATGAAGGCGATAAAGATGCGTTGTATCGAGTGCAAGGTGTTGCCTTACCTGCTGGATTTACGTTAGATCATGTAGCCTACGGTACATTAGAGGAACGCGCTAAGAAATTGGTAAATAATGTGCTACATTAGTTGTTAAAAATATTTACTGAGTATACGTCTTAATTTTTAGAATCCTGCACGCTTACCCAATGAGCCTTTCGAAGAATCACAGCAGCAGATAGCTTGAATGAATGCGACAAGTTAATTTCATTGAAATTTTTGTTTTATATATAAATAAATGCGCATAAATACATTTAAATTAACTTAAGGCGTGCTTTAGCCGATCAACATACCATTCGCCTAAATGTATGCTACATTTCTGCATCGCAAGCTCACTATTTTGTAGAAGGAAGTTGAAAAAGACAGGTACTTACATGTACAATGAAAAGAGTTCTCCAGCTTAAATTAAGCAATGAAAAATTAAAAGGGACCCTAATGAGAAAAAGGTGTACCTGAATAAGTAAAGAAAACTACTTTCGATTTATAACCGCACTGCTGGTTGTGAAATCAGTTAGTTATAGGTGTATTTCCAAATTGTGTATATCGTTTTATTTTCGTTAGATTATTTATTTCAAAAATATAACTTGGCTTTATTACATTAACTATATGCACGTATGTATGTATGCATGTACATTAGACTGCATCACTCCCCATACAAAAAAAAAGAAATAACGGTACTGCGTTTCCATTGGAATTATAAAATCTATAATATATTTCAAGACATACACGNTGCATCACTCCCCATACAAAAAAAAAGAAATAACGGTACTGCGTTTCCATTGGAATTATAAAATCTATAATATATTTCAAGACATACACGAAAATATTTCTGAAAAATATTAAGATTTACGTGAGCTGGACCGATTTGAAAATACCTCAAAAAAAGGGAGTTTGTTATGAATAAAAATCCCCTCAAATGACAAAGCAGTTTAAGCATAAAAAATCTGCATAAAAATAAAAATAAAAAATGTAGCGGTATCGCAATAATTAGATTTTTGATGCTGTTTTTAACCGACTTCACAAAAAGGAGAAGGTTATCAATTCGTCGGAATATTTTTTTTATGTATGTTACCACATAACTTTGGACCACATTAACCGTTTTCTTTAATTATTATTTTTTTAAGGAAAGGTGTTACCTCACAGGTGGTTCCATACTTATATGGTTTAAAGCCGATCATGGGATCATGAAGAAATTAACGATAATCTTAAACTTGTATATTAGAATTGAAGTCGGTTTTGTTTTTTGCTTAAAAATTACTTGTTTTACCTTTTTTAAAAGATTGGCATAAGAAAAACTTGAATAACTCGACCAAAAATATTCCGATTTAGACTTATAAGGTATCATTTCTCACCCTTTTTATTTATTTACGAATAAACTCATTTAAAAGTATAAAAGGGAAAGGTAGGATGAACGAGCGTCATTCCAAGTTGAATTAAGATGCTCCGGCATTTGGAAAAAATGGGACGTGATGAGTTTTTTTGCAAATAAAAAAAAGAGTGGGGAAATACTTTTCCACTGATACCTCATAAGTCTAAATCGGAATAGTTTTGGCCCAGATATCAAAGTTTTTCTTAAACCAATCTTCATCTGAGGGGATTTTTTCAAAAAGTTCTTAGAAAACTATTTTTATTCATAAAATAAATCCATTTTTGGCGGTATTTTCAAATCGGTCCAGCTCACGTAAATTTGAATATTTTTCCGATATATTATGGTGGACTTCTTCAAATATAAATAGGTTTTGTAACCCCGGCGGAAAACCGTAACTTTTTTTTGGTAATGCAGTCTAATGTACAAATAATAAACATACATACTTGGCAATGCACTTTAAGGTAATCTTTTCTTTAAAACTACCTGTTTCGTTATACGTTTCTACTTTTGAGCTAAAAATTAAAACTAACTAAAATATAATTAATAATACTTTAACACTTAAGACAAACTTTACAGAATATCGGAACTAGCTGGGAGTTTAAATATTAGTCCACTAAAACTGTTCTTCAAAAATTCATTCAAAATATTTTAAATGCTATTTCGGGAATGTATGCCTTCCATTTATACTCATTTTTCTCCAGGGGGTACTTTTATTCTTCACTTAAAAAGCTCTGCCAGCGCCTCTTCATTCACAGCAATGGCCAACATTATAAAACCACCCAGCAGCATGCCGCCAATCTGTATGAGANAGTTTACTTTTAGCATCTCCCGTATGCGTCTCCGCCTCACTCATTGCCGGCACCAGATCGGCTAGCGCTATGTAGAGGAACGAGCCCGCTGTGGCGGCATAAATCCACTGTGTCATATTTCCATGCGCGCCAGCTATGAACAACCCAATAGCCATGCCCACAAAACTCAAAACAGAGCTGACAATGTTCAAGTAGACTGCGCGTCGCAGCGACACTCCCGTCTGCAGGAGTAGCGCGAAATCGCCCAGCTCGTGTGGCAGTTCGTGACAGAGTACGGCAAAGGCAGTCGCCATGCCCGTCACTGGATCGCTGGCAAAGGCGGCACCGATCGCTAAACCGTCGGTGAGATTGTGCAGCCCGTCACCGATGACAACCATAAAGGCTACTGGTGTGAGCGGACGTGATGGCGACTTTTCATCTTTTTTGGTTTCGTGCAACATTATATTGATTTCCTTGGCGTCGGTGTTGACCGGTGACACCATGCTATCGGCATCAATTCCATTTTTGGACGTTTTATCAGCTGACGCATGCTCACTGTGATGTGCGTGCGCATGACTATGCGTATGGGCGTGCCCGCCATGTGAATGGCTGTGTCCATGTCCTTTGGCGTTCTCGCCTCGCAGCAGCGGTAAGGTATGCTCCAGTATGTACATAAAAATGCAAGTGAAGAATGCGCATGCACAGATCCAAACTGCCTCATGAGTGTCGTGTTCAGACTCTGCTGTGCTAGACTCATGCGCGCCATGTTCGGGCACCAGAGCGTGTGGCAGTAAATGCATCAATGCGTCACCGGCCAGTGTACCCACAGCCACAGCGACAAGGAACTTTAAGATCTCCTGATAGGCAATTGTTTTCATCAGCGGCACCAGCAGGATGCCCAGCAGCCCACATGCGGAGAGTATGAATATGGAAATGCTGGCGTAAATCCAAGCTGCGTGGAAGAAATTAGAAAAAAGTGGTTAGAGCAAGTTCGGGTCTTTCTAAGTATGTATCTATTGCATATTCACTCACCATTCCACAATGCCTGCTTGGGGTTGTCGCCATTTGTTAGCGGCGCTGGTCGCACACACACATGCTGGTCGATTTGCGCTAACAGCGCTGGGCAGAGTTTCATAAAAGCCACTGGCGTTAACTGTACCTGGTTGATGAACTCATTATACTCTGCCTCGGAGTTGTGCGTTTTCGCTACGCCATCGGACGTGTAGGTCTTGTATAGCTTACGTTTGTGTAAGTCATCGTGATCGACGACTAGACGTAGCATTGACTTAGGTGATAGGCAAACATTCGGCGATAAGGGTGCGTCATCCATGGAGTCATCTGAAAACAAAAGCGAAAATTTTTATTAATAGGATATCTTTTATTGATTGTGGAGTTCTATTTTAGAGGTAAAGAATCTAAAGACATGTGGTCAATTCATCCAGTGAAGTAAAAGCGGAATTTCCCGTTGGAAAACACCTTCCACAGCAATTTTACTTTTAAATAGTCTACAAATAGTGGTGCGAACTGACTTGATGGTATTAGCCCCTAGGTTCATGTCCTTGAACCACGTGAGCTACTCGCTACAAATATTTAGGAAGCTTCTCAAAGACCTCGTAGTCGAAAAGCGATACTTTTTGAGTACACAAATTTGAGAGTTCTCCAAAACTATTATGTCTCTGTTGCAAAATTCGCTGTCAAGGATAGGCATGGTCCAATAAATTTTGGGGAAAGTATATAGACCCTTCGAAGTTCTTCTCATGTCGAGAGCCGACTGGAATGAGAAATTTCATACTTCCGCAAGAATACATCCATGGCTCCAAATTAGAAAATAAAGTTGGAGAAAGCGCTTTCACTAAGTACCTGGGATTAAGAATATTAATCAATCTACCTGACTTGGCAAGTGTTTTCCACTCTGATTAGGGCGTCAGTTGGAAGTACACCTAGCTTGGGTACATGGTCGCCACAACATTGCCGGTAATGAGGTTGAAGATGTGTTAGCCAGGGAAGGTTTCACATTGGACTTAATCGATCACCGGATCTTGCCCCCAATTGGAACTATACAAGTATATACAGCGACAATTTTCTACACAAACTATAGATCAATTCGAGTTGAGCATAGGACCACAACAGAAAGAGGGGAGCTTCAGTGGGCCACTCCAACTTATTCGGTTAAAGGGCGCACTAGAGTCAGCAGCGGCAGGGTAAGCTTGGACCTCACCATCTACTTAATAGACCAGAAGAGCCCTATGAGCTGATCGGAAGTATAAAAAAGGTGGAACACAAATGATTAAATATTCGCCTCTCGAATAGCTAAGAAATATTTTGATTTTTGACCATCGAACTTCTCTGGAAATAAAATCTAAAAATTAAAAGAGATCTAAATAAAAAAATAAATTAATTAAAAAAGAGAAAACAAAAAAAATAATATTCTAAAAATTAAATGCAATTAAAAAAACTTTTTTTCTTTTTAAAACAATAAAATCTAAAAATTAAATAAATAGAAAATTGAAAAAAAAAATTTTTGGAAAATAAAATGTAATTAAAACAATATATATATATTATTTTATTTTTAAAACAATAAGATCTAAAAATGAAAAAGTTGACCTTAAAAAACACAAAAAATTAAAAAAAAAGAAAAAATACAAAATTAAAAAAGAAAAAATAAAAATAAAATAAGTTTCTAAATATTAAATGAAATAAAAACTATTTTTTTTAACAATAAAAACTAAAAATTAAAAGAGATGTAAATATAAATTAAGAAAGAAAAGAAAATACACAAAATAAGCTTCTAAATATTAAATTTAATAAACTTTTTATATTTTTTTAACAATAAAACCTAAAATCAAAATAAAGTAAAATTAAAGAAGAAAAAATTGTTTGAAACAAACCCAATGCCGAAGGATAAGAGCTTAGGATATTTTCTCGAATGGCACTCCAATGCTTTCCTAACTCGGCCATTTTGACTGTTGGAGCAGCGCGAGCAAAATTTTATGCATAAGAAGTTGAATTGAGCAAGTGACCTTGCACTCTGGCAAAAGAGCAGATTACCTCAAGCAACGACTGTTGACAACATAAGAGTTGGCAAGGAAGCTCTTATATAGTAAGAAGTCTTTCGTAAGACAAATGAAAGACAGATGGATTTATTTTGTTATTCTTTTTAAGATTCTTCTTTATTGTTTTTTTATTCTTTTTAAGATTGTTTTGTTTTTTTTCTTTTTAAGATTTATTTTTATATTTTTTTTTTAATATATATTTAAGAGAATTTTTTTCCATTTTTTATTTTTTCAATTGAGTTTTATTTTGGTTTCAGATTTTTCTGTTTAGAAAGAAAATACATATAGTTTTATTTCATTTCATGTTTAGGATGTTATTTAATTTTTTGTTGTTGTTTTTTTAAATGATTTTTTTTTTAATTTCTAGATTTTGTCTTAAAAATAAGAATATTAAAAACAATTTGGTTTAAAAACAAAAACACATTATGTATCGTCTTTAAAAGTAAAAACCACGTATCGTCGTTCTGCAAAACCGCGTAACTGACATTTTTTGCCAAAAATTGGATTTGCGCACACAAGCGCTTGGCTAAAGACTTATCCATTCGCCCTGAAATATACTAGCCAGAAATGCGATTGCTTTGTAAAAAAGAACCATTTGGAAATCCGAGTGTTTTTTACTTTCTACAAAGTAATTTATGCAACCTCACATATGCGGGTTTGCATTTTGATGATAGGCGGTTTTGTACTTTAAACGACGATATATGTTTTTTTAATTTCATGTAATTTTTAGAAGCAATTTTTTTAATTTTCGATTTACTGTTTTTTTTGTAAACTTTTGTTTAATTAAATTTTCTTTTATTTGTTTGTTTTTACTGTTATAAAAAGAAAAAATTTAATATTTTTTATTTAATTTATGTACTTAAAAAAAGTATTGTTAAAAGGGGAACAGCATAACGCCAAGGCCTCCTCGTTAGCAGATCTTTCAATTAGTTTTTCAAAATACAGTAAAGAGCTTTCAAGATAGTTGCCAGAATTGCCCTGTAATACTTCAAAAGCTAGTCGAGGGAGCGCAATACGTACATATAATAGGTATAAATAATGCCTTACGCAAATGTCATATCGGATAGATAAATAGTTTTATCTTACAAACTGCGCAAGCTGCATTTAATTGTGGCACAAAAATTCATTTCACAAAATGTATGTTAATCTTAATCGCATTTAAATTTTTATCAACCTCAGTCAGTTATAAATTCTGTCCAATGCGGAAGCAAAACCAACCACCTAATCTCAATTAGAGATGTATGAAAATTTTACACGCTTATTAGGAGCCACAAAATAAATACAGTAAAAAACCTTTATTCAACACCATAAAACAGAACCTGCACTACTAACCTGTTTCAGATAAAAAAAAAAAACCATCTCAACTGACGTCCAATTGCATAGCAAATGCATTAAGATTATAATGCT